AGAGCTGAGCAGGGCTGTTGAAGACAGAACATACTGGAGATCACTCCTTCATGTTGCAGTGTCGGTCTGTGCCATCAAATCACCTCTGACTTATAAATTGGAAGCAACTGGACAGCATACAACAACAATATTAGAATTGTCAAGTCAAGAGAGACAATTCTCAGGGCAAACTATTCAAGTGTGCAGTAATTTTAAAGGCTGAGTGCCCATCCCTATGATCCTGAGCTGGCACTTTTACACATTTTGCCTCCTGCCTGGCCGGCCTTCAAAGGGGCAGCCACTCCCCCGCCCCATCCCCATAGCTCTGGGTTGCCCTCTTAGGGCAGACCCACACACACATAAGGGGGTGGAGAAGGAGAGAGAGGGACACTAAGGGGTGTGGGAAGAGTATGAGGCTTGAGAAAAAGAGAGACACCAAGCCGCAGCCAAAACCAGCCAGACATTTTGACTAGGTCAGCCTTTCTAGAGGTGCAAAGGAGGAGCACACACAACAAGGGCGGGAGAGAAGAAGAGGAAATCACAGAAGGCATACCAGTAAGTGGCAAACCCCACCGACCCAATTTATACCAATAGAGGCATTCACATATGCCAACATGATACAAAACAATTTGAATTGACATTTGAGTTAAAATAAATGATGCTCTTGCAGATGAATAAATTATACGATTCCAGATCAAAACAATTTGCACTTCCATGTCCATTGGCTTAGTCGCCATTTTTGTAAAAAAAAAAAAAATCAATTTAAAACACGCTAAATCCCATTCAACTACTGTACAGAGATTTCCCCCTGCCTGCCCAGTGTATAATCACGCTTTAAATTAAGTAGTTCTCTGTTGCATTTTAAAACCACCCCACTAGCTCAAGTCCTCTTGCCAGTTATTAGAGAGGAAGTGTGCAGTTTTCCCCACAGCTCCTCAAAAGCAGGTCCCATGGAATGGCGGAACTGATTTTCTTGTGTGTGTGTGTGTGTGGGGGGGTTGGATTGTAACTCATGTTCCATCAAACTGGGAAGGACTCACATTTTGAATAAACATGGCTTTGTCTTTGCGGCAAGACCAAAAAAGAAAACTCAAACCACATGAAGTTTTTCCCAGCACACGAGGTTCCTTACAACATCAGAACATCTGTCTTTATGCTTTAAAGCAATTTCCTATGCTCAGATTTCAAAATCTTCTTGTGATTTTAGTCAGAGCAATTACAGTAGCATAAACCTGTTGATTCAATAGGTCTACTCTGTTTGGGGAAACCAATCCGGTAGGTGCCTTTATGTTTACATTTTAAATATTAGAGAGGAGATTTAAAAAATCGTAACTACCCATGGAATTTATATTTTCTAGTTCTGGGAACCTTGCTTACATCCGCTTGTGCTTCACATACTTCCCTATTGAGAATCCCACCTATTGTGGTGTTTGATTTATCTATCAGTTAGTTTTATTTTAATTTCATTGTTGTGTTTTATTTTCTTGCTGTAAACCATCCAGAAAAGTGCTTTGCACGAATGGGGTGGTGTACAAATCAATCAATCAATCAATTAAGGGTCAGTGGGATCCCCGAGAGGATCTGGAAAAAAAATATCAAGGTTCAGATAGAGATAATGAATTACATCTGCGAGTGAATTTCATTTTTTGGTGTTTTAAATTCAATTACCATAGAAATGGGACTGAAGAAGGGTGCAAAATGCATGAAGAAATAAAATCTGGAAGCGGTCTTGGGCAGGCAGAGGGAGGAATGCTCTGATATTTACCGTATTTTTCTGTGTATAAGACGCCCCCCCCACTTTTCTAATCCAAAATTAGGAAATCTAAGTGGGGCTTAGCAAGTGTAAGGGGAAAGGGATCAAAGCGCTGCAGGATCGCTTTGATCCCTGCTTTCCCCTCCACTTGTTTTTGTTCTCGCCTCAGCTTACTTCCATGTACAAGACGACCCTCAATTTTTAGTCTAAACATCTTAGACAAAAGTATAGTCTTATACATGGGAAAAATACGGTAATAAAAAAAACCCCAGGTATGAATGAATCAGGGATGTCCCCCTGAAGGAGAAAGTGAGAGGTCTTGAACTGAAAGATCCTCCTGACTCCTTTTCGGGTGCTCTCTAAGCATCCTGGCTTCTTGTCACACCGCACGACAAATGTGGCACAGCATAGATCACCTCAACATTTTATTAAGAGGACAGACTTGGACCGAAATGATAGAAGATCAAGATCTGAGTGACTGGGAGGGACCTTTCTGGGCATGGGAGGACTGTCAATCTATCCATCATGAACCAATCATTCTTTCCCACCTCTAAATTCAGAGAGAGTCCCGCCTCTCTGTGGAGTGCTGTTCTCTTTCCCCCTCTGTTGGAAGAAGTGTTTGTTTGGTGTTGATCTGTTCACAACTATAATGACATTTTTTAAAATTCTTCCTCCTATAAATGTCTCAGAGTGGGTTACTGAGACTCTAAGTGCCGGTTAATGAGAAAAGAGTAGCCCATCGAGGCAACTTGAATATATTCTCCTTTGTGAATCTTTGTACTCCTGCTACGTAGTGAAACAAATTTTACCATAAATTTAAAATTCAGCAACAAAGACTGGGTATAATAATATCTACAATGGATACATCCATATCCAGGGTTGTACCTAGGGTGGTGCAACAGGAACTTTTACCCCAAGCACCA